AAAACAAGGACAAGAAGAGACGTAAACACGTCTCTTCCTGTTCTTGTTTTTTCGGCGCCTATCTTCGATCATGAACCAACTGGACCAAATTGTCATCTACTGCGCCACTTCACCGAGAGCTGGGGATTGTCCCACCGTTCCTTTGAGAAAATAATATGGCGTCGAACGAAAATTCGATGTTGTGTATAAAAAGAATGGTGGAAGTTTGAAGCAATCGCCTTCTTGCACCAACAGTGACGAGGTCGACAATCTGATATTCTGATTAATTTTTCCTTCACTGGACGTAAATAGGAGCACCGTCGGACTGCCAACTTCGACGTTGTTTGTTGAGAATGCGGCGACTTCAAGCATCCACCATGCTTTTCACAAACATCAACAAAGTAATAAAGTGCCTCGTTCGACGCCACCTTCCTTTACATGCCGCCGCCATGTTCCGAAACCATGCACGAATGGTGCAAACCATGAACTACATATGATAGCAACGACGAAGTGGAATTTATTTCCCTTCACTCCATTATAAATAAACATGCATTTTTATAAGGTTCCAGCTTCCCAACCGCGCCGGTTCTGTTCTGTCCGTCATCGCGCAAGGATTCTTCAGCTTTCAACCTTTCTCTACTCGTAGATAACTAGTGTTAGGTCTGAAACTCAATGACTGGGTCATCACTCATCGGTCACTTTAGTCATCAGTCACTGAGCCAGTCATCGTGGCTCACATTTGGCACTCAGAAAAACGGTAGAAAAAAACCACTTTCCAGCGACGTGCGCTAAAGTTAGGCCAAATTCTGATTGTGCCGTTTTTCTGGTGATTAATTTTTGTTTCTTTGATCTAAATAACAGCAGTATCGCCTTTCGCAGCAACTTGACCCTCTAGGTCTTGCAAGCGCTGCTTGGAGCTCCCGAAAAATCATTTAAAAAGAAATATCTCGCTGTATACTTAGGTAACTAATTCAATAAACGTTTTCTGAAACTCACAGGCATGCCGGTTTGGTGGCTCTAGTACAGAGGTGGCCAAGCTGCGGCTCGTGAGCCGCCTCTGCGCGTGTTCAAGCGCGGCTCGCGGCTCCCTCCCTTACCATTCTAGAAATGGAACGCGTTTTAAATCGAGACAGGTTGCGGTTTGGTATCTCGTGCTACTGCTGCCTTACGTACAGTTGGACTGCTTTTGACTCGGATATATTGAAAGTGATTCCAGTTTCGTTTATTCGGTCGGTAGATGAGCTAGCTGGGCTCCGCTTCTGGGCAAACTGGGCGCTGCTAGTACCACTGGAACGTTTGCTGGCATATGTGTCAGCGAGAGCACGCGCTGAGCGCTAAACGTCCTCGGGCGAGCAGAAGAAAGGAGGAATTTAAAAGCAGAGGAGGAACATCAGTGGCGTGAGCCAGTTTTCAGGCCACACAGATGAGTGCCGCCTTCTAGTGGTTGAACCACGGTTGAACTAATGGCTTGTTCAAGATGGGCGGCGGAGAAAAGCTCACCGGAGATAAGCTCACCGGAGATAAGCTCACCGCAAAACCGGCAGATGCGGAGAAAAACTTACCGATTTTTTTTCTTTTTTTAACTTAGCGGATTCTGCGTCAAACGTGGCATTTAACATAATTCGCATTCGCCACTTCATTAAAAAAAAAAGAAAAAAAAAGTCCTCTTTCTTGTAATATTCTTGAAGGTCATTGGGCATATTTACTGATTCCTCAGAAATTAGTAACCACCCATTTTGTATATTAATGAAGCCGGAAAAATGATATCAGAACATCGTACACCGGTAAAAAAAAGACAATTTATTGACAACTGAGGGTGCGCCGTCGGTAGCTCTGTCAAATAGAGGTTTGTTCTTTGTGAGCTAATATGAATAGCGGTGTGTGAACCGTTTCAGCTCCAAATATTCTGTAGTGCCTAATGGTTAAGTGGGTATCTGTTGATGCAATCAGTGTCGGCTACGCCGTTTTCTTTCTGTTAATTTCACTAAGAAAACTCTAAGTGCGAGGCAAGCTTCGTTCTGTCGTGTTTGTTGTCTTCACTCCGTCGTCGTCGTTTGAGCGGTTTTCATCATGTATAACGTTTACCAGCTCACCCTATTTGCTACCTTACAGAAGACTATTTCTTATATAGGTCACGAGTAACAACGGTGCCAGTGTGCAGCTCTGAAAGTCATGAGTGGCTCACCTTAGAAGGGCACTATCACACAAAGGCAACGTGCGGAAACACCAGCACGAACGGCTGGAAAACGTGCATGTCCGTGGAAGAAAGAAGCCTCGATATCCTACTGACTGTTTTATCCTGTTTTCAAAGGTTAATATAAGCTTCAAAGAGAATTTCGGGCACCGCGTTGTTGCACATGCATTTTCGGTTTTTAGTTTTGATTTTTAGGTTTTAGCGAGACATAAGTTTTCGAACCTTTTTATGTTATTCAAGTTCATAAAATTTTCAGTTAGGCTTTAGTTGCCCAGAGAGTAAGCTGCAGAAAACACTGGCCCGCCATTATTAATTTGGGAGCAATATACTTAATAATCTTGGCAAATAATACAAAAAAGGACTTTCTTTTTTTTTACAAAGTTGGCGTTTGTTACGCATGATCCAACAGCCTCCATATAAAAGGAAGAAAAATCGGTGAGCTTTTCTCCGCATCCGCCGGTTTTGCGGTGAGCTTTTCTCCGGTGAGCTTATCTCCGGTGAGTTTTTCTCCGGTGAGCTTTTCTCCAGTGAGCTTTTCTCCGGGATTCGTTCAAGATGGCCGCCGTGGGACCGCCGCCTGAACTCAATTTTGACAGGATAATAGCGGTAACTTTTTTCAATAATGAACCCTAAACAACCAAAAATCTGTAAATTTTAGGTTTTAATTATCATGATTTTTTTTTTAAATCAGTAGATCTGCTGATCAGTAGCGGTGGCAATACTGCTTTGACTAAGTGAGGTTGCAACGCGTTGACACCTCCAAGAGGCAAAGCACAACTACTGTAAGCTTGGCCCTGCATGACAATAAGACGTCAAGGGCGCACAGGATCTTCAGAGATGCATCGCACCCTTCGATGGCCGATTTTGAAGTGCTCGCCAAACTCCCAGCATTTAAAACGAAAAATATAGCCATCTGCTCAAAATACAAGCATGCAATGATCATTTACAGGTTCAGCTGGTCCCATTCGACTTGTTTCTTGATGTCCTCTGTATATTTTAAATAATGATTTAATATCCATTTTACTTGAGAAACTTCTAACGCTAAAACTATAGTAATTGACACTTACAATGAAGGTCAGAAGTAGCCTTCACATTCAAAGTCCCCGTCAGCTCTTCGGCCATAAACCAGAGACGAGGTGAAGGAGGCACTTTCCTCTCACCGAGACTCTTTTTTGTGTGTCCCAGATGTCACTATTGTCCTTCTAGAAGACTATAGAAGATTAACCCATCACTCAACATTCGTACAAAAGCTTCCCTCCCTCCCTCCCTCCCTCCCCTTCCCTTGCTAAAGTTGGCTATCTTCGGTGTTAAAAAACAAAATAGAGCAAATCAAGCCAAAAATGGGGGGCGGGCTATCTTTCGGGGGTGGGGCATCTCTTGGCATTTTATGGTAGACACCAATCGTTTCCCCACTAAATTTAGCGTGGGAAATCGACGCCGCACAACCCCTACAACCTTTCAGTTTCCCCGCCAAATTTTTAGAGAAAATATACGCCACGTGACACGCCAGTTCATGCATTATGGGAATTTGAAGGCAAAGGTTGCTGCCAATTTCTTTGTTAATTTTTTGTGAAATATTGAACGAAGAGGAGACGGCTAGGCCTACTTGTCAACATAAGTGTGATGGCAGGTTACGTCACAATTCCAAGAACCAAGCAGACAAACATGGCTCAAAATTTTGCCGTTCTGGGTTGCCGGGAAGTCTTCAAATATGTATTTGACTAATTTCACGATCCTAACCGGCACTTATTTTCATACATGAACTATAAAGATTCAAAGGTGATAAAACACAATAAAACCCAAAATCAGTTTGAATACAACTCGGTACGATCAAGCAGCCGTGGCAATGTTCACCGAATAAAATTTCAGTGGGATGGCTCCCGACACCTGCCATGGTTCATGTTAAGGTGAATCATGATGCAAATTTTGTCATAGCATTACTATAGAAAACATTCCACATCAAAAGCATACCACTAGAGCAACTGGCACTTTGCAGAAATGGTTCTGGAAATGTACCATTGTAGAATTTCAAACCCATTGATAGCCTTCTTTATCTAAAAAAGAGAGGGAAGCACATTTGCTTTCCTGTAAGACATGTAAGAGCTCAGAATTGCAATCTATCTCAGGAGCCTTGTAAGTACAAAGAGTCCATAAAAATTTTGTTTTACAAATTTTAAAAAAGTAGCATACTCATGTAGATCTTAATGAAAGATGAATGCATTCCTCCGATAAAAATAAGCATTCCCTACGAGTTGCGAATGCGAAAGCATGCAAGCCGCTTGTCCACTTTCTTTTTCGTCTGCTGCATACTTTTCGTCGCCGGTCGGCGCGTGTGCTCCCCGGTGACCTAGGACGCTCTGCACTGATGGACACGCAGCGCCATGGGGTGAGCAGTCGTGGAAACCGACGAGCGCAGCGGCCAATGGGAGCCTCGTCGACGCGTGCCAGCCAATGGAACCGAAGGAAACTATCGGCCGCTTTCGCACTTCAGACTGATGATGTCAGCTCGCTACATGAGACAGCCAATGCTTTCGCATTAAAAATTATTCATAAGCACTACAGGCTTATCGATAACAGGCTCAAATGAATGCAGTAAACACGGTCACATTTGTCAATAGATCTCATCAAACATAAGACTTTCAGAAATGCCTGTTAGATAAATGAGACAAAATAGAGGGAGAGCCTTTCTCACATAGCAGGCCTCGCACATTATCTGCACTGAACACTTAGATTATTTTTTGGGTAGAGGTGTACTTTTACAAGCATTTGATCCAGGTGTGCTAGCGAATACCTGCATCAGTGGTTACCGCAAAAAAGCTCATCCGGCTGAAAAAAAGTAAATTATATTTTTATTCAGAAGCAGTGCAAGTGTCCATGCGTGTGACCTTCAAACAATATCACTCAAATTCGCTTCCAACAGTGTTTACAAAATTTGTAAAACTAGAACGAGGCAGGTCTTTGTTCTGAACAGAAAGTCTGCACAAAAAGTCGGTTGAAATCCTAAACAAATGCCCACTTTCAGAAAATAAAAAGCAAGGTCAAAGACACAACATAGTAACATTGAACGGCCATGGTTCCTGAACATGCACTTCAAAAAGAAAGTGTGCTAATGGCAATGACCATACTCTCTCTAAAACAATGTCAACCGCAAAAACTACTTAACAGCCTAAACACTGAAAACATACATTTTCCTACGTCGCTGCATAGCACTGGGGTGTATATATTACAAGGTGTGTGTATAAATATGTGGAAAAAAAACTAACTCCGCAACCAAACGACGCTGCGACGATATTCCTTCGTATCACTCCCTTCACAACTGCCGCTCCGGCTCGTGAAAACTGCCCGTTCAAAGTGGTCGGTACAAAAGTAGGTAAAGCCCAACTACAAGTCGGCTCAAGAAAACATCTCTAGGAACATTACTTTTGTCTCGGCTGACCAATGCATGAAAGAAAAAAAGACTGTCTTTGGCTCGAGGCTGCAGTTAATTTGTCGCCAAAAAGGCAGCATGCCCGGCTAGCATCTCAACTCACATTTGTACAGCAACAGGCAAGGCTGGATCTTCTCCTCATAACCTCAAATTGCAATAGTAATTAAAAAAAAAAAAAAAAAAAGTCCAGTCACAACTGAATATGCTCCCCCGACATCATGACACGAGGTGCCCCGAAGAAAACGACTGGCAGACAGGTCTTAGGAGCTGCAAACCGTAGCGGGATGTGATAGGCAACACAAAAATGTGTACTTTAGTATAATGATGCGTACTACAGAACAAAATTTCAAAGCCCAACTTCATGCTATTCACTGTACTAGACAATGGCCGGGTTACGCCATCTCATGACAATGTTTTCACACTGCAACAAGTGGCCTAGTTGCTAACCCCTGTCAAAAAGTAAAAATAAGTGTTCTGTTAATGTTTCCAAAGGGAAAGTATCAGCAGAACAGAAACCAGCAAAGTACACATTCGAGGGAACCCAAACTGATACGCACAGTCGTTGATCCCTAGATTGCTTAAGAACAGCTGTTTTCTTCGAAACCACCTTGTAGTACACGCATGAGCTGGAAAGTGGGGCCGCACAAACCCGTCGCAAAAGCAACCAGCGCTTTTGAGCAGGGGCACGCTTAGCGTCGCAGAAATTGTAAACATAAAAGTATCTAAACTAAGATGCAGAAAGAGATTCAAAAACATACAGAGTGATGCAACAGCGATTGCGATACATATAAAACCTACCTAAACATGATGGCCGAAAAACGTGGCCCAAGACTACAAATGCCGTGGGCATTGCCGATAAGACATACCACAAATGCACATTTGAAAACCACCACCAAGCAGACTTGCGTTGACCCACAACAATGTCGAAACGTGAAGTGGGAAACAGGGAATGCTCGAACTGCAGGAAGGTTTGACTTACGGTACAGCAAGGACCTACTTCTTTAAGTATACCGCAATCCATGGAGACTAATATGAGACAAAAAGATGACAAACAGCTGAAGTCATTCCCATATTCAAAAATAAATCTTCCCGGGATTTCGAAAGAAACATTTCAGGTGAGAACGTTCTGCTTTCTGCAGACTTGTGAGAAGAGTTTGAAAATTTTGCAGTGACCACAGAAAGTAACCTTCTCCCCACTTTTTCGTTTCGTGCTCCGACCACCAGGTGGCCACGATTCCCAGGCTTGTTGATAGCCGACGTCTTCCTCTGCCAACGCATCGCAAGTACAACGCAACGCATCGCAAGTACAACGAACTTTGGGACACGAGTCATCCCCCACGAAAACAACTTGTAGAAAGAGGTGGCCTCCCCCGCCACACAAAGTAACATAACCTTTTGAGCAATTATGCTTAAGGAGCATTGTCAGGAAGTCACGTAGAGTGCATTTCAGTCAGTCACTACCTTGAAACATTTTCCGATCCCAACCAAAAACAAAATGCTAGGTCAGCGAGGCGACATCAGAATTTACAGGAACTGTTGCTGTCGCTGGGCCCCGATTCCGGGTGTGGCACAGCTTCCTTTGTTTCTGGTCAATTGAAAGAAACAAGAACAAGTTTACAATCAAAGGTGCAGAGTTTGAAAGTTTTGTAGTTAAAAATAATACTGGGAATCTATCTTGGCAGACAAAGTGCATACTTACTATGGTGAGCAAAGGGTGGGACGAAAATGTGGCCGAAGCTCACTTTGCGCGAGAGTTTCTCCAGTGCCTGGAAATAGAATAAAATCATGAGCCATTCCACTCTATGAAGGTGGGTGACCAGCAAAGCTGTTTAGCACACGACACAGAACCGCCCCGAGGAGGCGGAGAAAACTAGACACACGCGACAGACCGCCACCCGGCGGAAAGTAGACACGCGCGAAGGGACCGCCACCCCGGGAGAGCAGAAGGAAAGGAAACTAGGCATGCAAGCACTTGGAATGACGACAAAGAGAGGGCGGTGCGAGCGTAGACATGGCCGACGCGGGTCGCACAGCGGCAATTTTTTGAGAAACCTTTGTTATCTACCCGTGAGTCTACTGATCTTGAAAATGGTGTCTACTGATAACTAATCTACTGATTAGACCTACTGCTAAATTCCCAAGCATCAAGGAGAATGCAGGGAATGGTGTTCCACGCGTCGCACGTGCCGGCGTCTGCAGCAGTAACTATTCTAAAGCAAAAGCCTAAACCAAATGGCATCTTGCACATGCGTTCGTGAACGCTATATTTTGCTTATTTACTTTGAATCTTTTATACAGCGAAGGCATGCGCATGTGGCAGTGCGCACGTAGAGTTTTAGTCACTGCACACGAAAAATCCACAGAACCCTAGCCATAAACAGCTTCGCTGTAATTAAGGTCAAACAACACGTCACTCATTGCTGCTTGAATACAAGAGGTTTTGGCTGACACTTTCACCAGCCACATGACAGTTGTCATGTGGCTGGTGAAACAAAGAAAAGTTGATACCGCCCTGAAGTTGTTATAACAAATATGTTTCTCAACTGCAAAATAGGTAATGAAACGATGGTACTTCCTAAGGAATTTGACAAGTGTTACTTTTGTGTTGAAGGGCATTTTAAGAAAAAAATATGAAAAACGAAAATTTTCTTCATTTAATTTGCTTCAACATACTTTTTAAAGCAGGCTGCACCCACGTGCAAATGACTGAAATAATTTTCGTTTCAAGACCAAACTAACAGCCATCGGACAGCCCTTTGTTCAATATTGTCAATTAACTCCCGGAATAATCATGAATCTAGAGCTTACGTACATCCGCCTAATTACTGCATTTTGAATTTAACGAAAGAAATTTCTTTGGAAACTTATAAAACTTGCAGGGTTATTTTCATAAGTTGCCCATGACGACATTAAACGTCCACTACAACTCTCTGGTGCACCTCAGTGTAACTCGGAAAACACCAAAAGTTCTAACCCTTACGATTCAATCGGAGCGTGACGAGCTCTCACGTGGTTCACTCCGTTGCTCCGAGTGGCATTCACCGTTTCCCCAAGTTATGCTGAAACAATGCGTACTAGAACCTCGCCGACACATTCTCCGTTAACATGTTTCCCCGACCGTTAGATTAACGAATGCCGGTCCCTCCGAACACCCGTCCATCGGGGTATGTGTGTCATTTTCCTTGTTTGCTGCGCTTGCCTCCTCCGCTCTGGTGTCCAAAAACTACCGTTCGACCCTCATATTGCCCCGCTCCCTTTCTTTTTCTCCTCCTGAACTCTCTGCGCCACACTTCTGCATTATTCTTGGGGGGGCATGATCATAAACAAGGTTTGGGAGAAATTGAGGCTTTCGCAACAGCCCATTCATCTTCCCTTCTCTTTCTCCTGGGCGTGCACCCGCTTTAGCCACGCTCGGTGGCTCGGCTCCGCTAATTTCTATTCTTGTGGGAGTTTATAATCGTGCACTGTGTGCGTGTCTGCATGCACTTATGCATGCATGTATCAAGCTTCAGCGCTCTGCGTCAGCATGGGCTTCGAGCTTCATCGCTCTGAATCGGCATGCCGGGAGCGGCGGCTGATGTGGGCATGATACCGTATTTACTGGCATAATGAACACATTTTTTTTCTTGAAAAATTTACACATATCTGGGGGGTTTGCGGGGTAAAATTTTTGCATTTACACACTTTGTGCAAATGTCATATTAGGTGCCAATATGATTTGGCAAGGTACTGTGGCACGTTTCCATTGATGGAGGCGCACCCACGACTGGTCGCGCACGCGCCACGGTAACCATGCTTTATAAATTGCGAACCTTTTTGAGGGCGCTTTCGGCTTGCCTTTTGCAGAAGGAAAAGTGTCCTACGAAGTTCACTCAGCACGGAGAAAAACGCGATTGTTCTTAGGCCTTACCACTTTCACGATTTCACTGTCCGAAAGCCGACCACAGACGACGGCGTGTTTGTTGATATCAATGCATCCGATAGGCGAACCATGTTAAATCAAGGCTGGGGAATTCCTCAACCCAAGCTTCATCAAAAGCGCGCACTGCTTGGTTTCACGTTTGATCACTTACGCAACTACGCACTTGCAGCCGTTACGAGAGCGGCTGGGCTTGACTTGGCATGACTGCATGGCGGCAAAAGAAAATTGGCTTGGTGGCTAGCTAAGTTGGACACAATTCGAGACTCGCAGAGCCAAATATTCTAGGCACGTTCATTACGCAAAGAAAAAAAAAAGGTCCAAATATTGGTACCCATTGTGGGGGGTGCGTTCATTGTGTGAGTGAGTTTATTATATGTATGAGTAAATACGGTACTTGGCGAAACTTGGAAAATACAAGATTACGGAGTGATTTGTGGGCACAAAATTTCGTGATTGGGAGTGGTATGCCTTGTATTTGTCTCCATGGCGTGACGTATTCGCATAACCAATGTTCCAAAATATTTTTCAAATCGCAAAATTCACAAAAATAAAATTTTCACAAAAAATGTGAAGTCATTTGCAGTACAGTAAACTTTTGTTAGTTTGACTTTGGTTAATTCGACCTTTCCTTTAATTCAATCGTGTTCAAAAGTCCCGGCGAGTGCCCATACATTTCTATGAGAGAAAAAGTTTGATAGATTGAACTCGAGAAGACTCCGCATCGGATAATTCATCCCAAGTAAGTGCGCACGGGCTCACGTTGCATAGCACCACGGCAGAAAAAGCACCCACGTACGGCGAAACATGGGCCCTTTGCTGCAAAGTCGAAAGTGTGCAAATAGGCGCCTGCTCCTCTATGCCGTTGAGATGGACCATAGCGAATGACACAAGCCAGCGCACCCATTTGGCGTGGAGCAGCGCGGAAAGCATAGCACATGGTTGGGCGTGGAGACAGCGCACGCTCTCAAAGCGCTTGTCTGTAGCATCATATGCGGTCCCCATCTTGCGCGCCAAAAAGCGCAAATTCTCTTTTCCTTTTTTTTTTGTTATTTTTCTTTGCTGTCAACGGCCTGGCTGCCCGGAGCCAAAGTCGGCTCTTAAAGCTTTCTTTTTCTTTTTTTGTGGTGCGCAATTTTTTGGGGACGTGCCGTTTAGTTACGTTGCTCTCCGGAGCATGCATTTGGACACGCGTTTTAAGCGCAGACGACAACAGACCATTCATGAGTACTTTGCACAATAAAGGAAAGTTTCATTTTAACCGTTTTTCAGTCCTTTTTTTAATTCAATCCTTCGGATAATTCAACCAAATTTCAAGGTCCCGTTGAGGTTGAATTAACGAAAGTTTACTGTATGTAATAATTTCTCAAGTTCAAATAAAATGCACAAACGTCTCCCGTTTAAAAAAAAAAAAAAATTCCCTAGCACGTTGAACAGAATATCTAACACCTGAAGATGCTCAGCATTGAGTCTCAATCCATAGCACACAAAACAAGCTTCGTCCTTTGCAACAGTACAATTTAAGCTCATTACAACAGATCTGGTCAGAACAGACAATTGGATAGTATAACATACCAATTTGTGAAGTTTGGTTGGTTTTCTTCTACATACCATTGACTCAACTTCATATCTGCATACAACATACTCCTTTTACAACATGATGCCAAAATCTTGGTCAAAATCAAGGTCTGTTATGACGAGCTTAGACTGTATTCTGACTCTAAATTTTGCCACTATTGTAGCTTTAATCCAGTGCACCGATCGCGTCGTCGCTTCTTTCTCCGCAATACTAGGCCACCGGCGTGGAATTCAGAACAATACAGAAACTCTACATTATTTGGCTGATACCTGACATCTCTCCAAGGTCACACACCGAATGTAAAAAGACAAATAAAAAGAATCCTACCTGTCGTGCCTCGATCGAATGGTCCCATGCGAGGCATCTCCCTTCCGGCCTGAAAAATGTTTTGAACATATTATAAACATAAAAAGCGCAAAGGACAAACAAGGACTCGAAGAAGACGAGACAGTATGTTAAACCAACTAGCCCACCTAGGTAAATATTTTAGTGTATTGTTATGAATAAAAGCTTGTAAATCTACGTACGTACACTTGGCAACACCACAAACACTGCACACTTTGGTTGCAACCTCACAGCTTTGCAAAACATCCATAACCAGACCAATGCAGTTACATATTTCTAACATAAAGCTCTAGAAAATGGCGCTACACTCCATCCACCCCCAAGCTGACAATGCAACAAAAGCTTGATGCTCGTTGGAGCATTCGCACGTTTATCTTTCGCCACACGATTACGCTCCTGCCCAGACTCACGTGCGGATAACGTGGTCAGGCGATGAAAGGGAGGCGATTTCATATTTGCCGAAACAAAGAAAGTTAAACAGAGACAAAGCAAGAAAAAAAGTGTTGCGAAAATGGTGCGCAGATTTCAGTTGAAACGCAATAGCATTTTGTACAGTCTTGTACAGCATAAATGTTTCCTTCGCAGCTGTAGCTGTTAATGCCGCCTTCTGGTGAAATCTGGCGAAGTTCAAACAAAAACACCTACATGATCGCTAGGAAAATGTGCTCTCCCCCTCGCCGCTGGACTTTGCACAGCCACGTCAACGGTTGCGAGATGTTATCTCGCTGACAGACGCATACAAACTCCCGTAGATCACACAGTCAGGGTTCATGCTGGCCTCGAAGACAAAAATTCAAGGGTTTTCAAGGACTTTCAAGGCCTGGCCAGGATAAATTCAAGGACCAGACAGCCTTACTTAGACAAAACACAATTCTAAAAGCGTTAAAAATATAATATTTATTGCACGAGACAAGATATTAAGGGGCTTTCCTTTTTGTATGCTAGATTCAAAGAAGCACATTAACAACACACGTTGCCATGTCCCACATGTTAAACAAAAAATATACACCAAACAAGCACTTGCCCAATGCTCATGGTAGTTCACATTGCTTTTTCTGGACTTCGAGGTCAATGTTCAGAATTTCCTGTGCCTTGCTTATGGCAGTCTTCCTGAGGCTGTTGGATTTAATGATCCATGTAAGCTCACTCGTGGCTTCTGCCTTATCTGCATAATTGTTGGCTGAAGCCGTCAATTCAGCAACAGCTACTTCCAGTTTCTTCTTCTTTCTCAATCTTTCAACTTCTTCGTCAATGCAGCACCTTTTCACCTGCCTTGCATCTTCAAGCTCCCGCTTCTTGGCTTCCAAGAAAGCACGGTAATGGTGCCTTGCAGAAGCCACGGACGTCCCGAGTTCCTTTGTGATTTGTAAATTCAAGATGCCACCTGCCTTGTTTACAGAGTCACATACAATTCGCTGCGAGATGTAGGAAATGTCTTTCATATTTTCCACAGCGACCTGCCGATTGACACTGAATCCTCTCTCAACACTCGCTTGTCCGTGACTGAGGACAAGCAGAAGCTTAACGACTACCCACAGTTCACTGTGTGACGAATTGATCTTCAGGAGGTCATAAAAAACCTGTTCAAGGTGTCCGAAGTTCTTTCAAACTGTTGCAAATCGTGCCTTCGTTCTTGCAATAGCTCGGCGTATTGTGCGAGCACAGTGTCCCTTTGATGATCACTGATCCTTTTTGTCGCAGTGAGGGAGTTCAAAACTTTTTTGATGCCTTCCAGACACTCGTCTGGCTTCCAGCACATTTGCCTGGGGTCCAGTGAAGTAAGGCCTTTTACTATGGGTAATCGTAGTGGGCTCTTCTCAAGTATCTTCTTTGCTACAGCGGCAAGGAATTGCTTACACTGCATCCTAAATGTAAATGCATCTTTTGCACTTACTTTGGAGCTTTCAGAATCTGTTGGGCCGCATGGGCAATGTCTACCTTCTCAAGTGGGGTGTGGTTGTTTGGATCGCCCATGTCAATCTTGAGCATGCTGGTGATGCCTGTTGCCGAGCAGAGAACCGAGCATTTCACAAATTTCGTCACCAGCTTTCTCCCCACACTTTCAAGGTCTTTTGCCAGGAAGAATACCAGTGGCTTGTTGACCTGATATTCCACGAAAAAAGGCCGAAGCATCATGGCAACCCCGAGAGCAAAGTTGAGCTTTGCCAGCACTAACGGATCATCGCAGAAGTCAGACAGGCATTGCAAGGAAGCTCATTTTGGAAGATTCACTTCTTTCCTTCTTGCGGATTCCACATACTTATTTAGATCAGGCCAAAGAAGCAAAGCGCGTTCAATAACTGTAACATTCTCGACCCATCGATGCGCAACAAACTTGCACGGGAACAGTGTCTGCTCGGTTACAGTTATAAAGTCCTGCCTTCGCGCTGGGGCGTCCTGAAACAATGTGTTCAGGCTTGAGAGCAGGCCATCTAGTCCCCACTTGCTGGCTGTGACGCCTGCTTTGCAAGCATTGTGTACTGTGTGCAAGCCACAGCTGCCCAGATCTAAACACTGAACCAAATAATTCAGCTGCAGGTGTTCTTGCAGACCTCTGAAAGCCTTCAAGTTGACATTCGGTCCATCTATTGACAGTTGGATGATCTCCAACGACAGAGGCTCCAGGGCACTCAGCAGTTTCTCTTCACTGTCTTGTGCTTCTGAATGGCCCATAAACACAAATGTGTAATACCACGTGGCGACCTTGTGTGACGCATCCCAGTACCTTATGTGAACATCCATCTGCTTCTGTTGCAAGTAGTCGTTCAGGGACTCGTCGAAGAGGACAACATAATAGTCGCACAAATCTACCTCTCGTTGGAGAGAAGATAAGAAAAAAGGTCCGAGACCATGGCACGCGACGTACGAGAACTTTTGCTCTCTGCAAGAGAAGGCTCGAGCGACTTCGCTGTCGGGAAACATTCTTCTGAACAAGTCACTTGTCTGTGAACAGAACTTGTAGGAATAGTGCGATACAGTTACTTTTAGTGTCCACAGAATCTCTGCATCAGTCACTAGCTCACGCTTCTTGCAAACACCGTCCAAGTCCGACGACTGTAAATGCGTTGGATCCACGGACGTTGGGTTCATGGACGATTAACTTACAGAGGGTGCCAAGAAGTTCTTGATCGGGTTACTCACTGCCGCCTTCATGTTCGCATCGTGTTTGGCGCTTTTCATCTGACTTTTCAGCGCCGACTCTCCCATAGCAGCAATGTCGAACGTTTTTGAGCAAGGCTTGCATTTAGCCCGATTTGGATTCGGCGTGTCCGGTGCAAGCCAGTGCCTATAACTGTCGTTGCTCAGCCACGAGCGTTGGAACTTGCATTTCCCTGGCATTATTTCTCACTTGGAGTTGCTGCAGTAATTCCGACCGCACATATTACACACCAGTTTATGTTCTACGCCGGCAACTTCTGATCTCGTACCGAAAATAACACAAAAGAGTGGATTGGAGGTGGATCTGGCTATGCCCTTCGGAACCGAAACTGATTCCAGTGTGGCAAGGCATTCAGAAACATCTGCTAAATGTCGTCGCCAAACTCGAAAATCAAGAACTTTCAAGTATCTGTAAAAATTTAAGGACTTTCAAGGCCTTGAAAACGCAACTTTTAAATTCAAGGGTTTTTGAGGATTTCAAGAACCCGCACGAACCCTGACAGTACACTCTCCTTCATTCGAACTCCAGGAAGCCACGAATTTTGTTTGAATTATCAAAAATGAATCTAAATATCATGCAAGATAAAATTATCATTTGCCGTATGAATGGCAAGACATACAGAGAAGATATTTCATGATTTCCTCTAAACAGACCTACTGATCATAAGCAGGTATGCCACACGTGCAACATTTGTGAAATGTATGACATTAGTTTATTTCTCAAGAATGTTGTTTATCGTGGACTGTTTAGACAGCACATGACGACTCAAAACAAAATTAAGTTTGTTCATCAGGCCAAGAAGTTGTCTAATCTGAACCATTTAGCGGGGGACACACGAGCGATAAAAAAGGGGAATGCGTGGCAGTTTTCGTAGAAACTTGCATGGAAGCTGTGACGTGAACCTATGCCATGCTGCGCAGCGTCCGCGCGAGTTGCTATGGAAATTTCTGTGTGGTGCCTATTTTCATTATTCATGGCGCCCCTTGAGCACCGTCGAGTGTGCTTCTCACCGAGCACCGGTGCACTGCGGAAAAGCAACGCCCGCGAAAGCAAGCTCCGCGGGTGTTGCCTCTCTGCGGTGCACCGATGCTCAGAAAAAAGCACACTCAACGGGGCCTCGGGAACAAAAAGTATGAATTACACGAAAACGCCGTTCGAATTGAGCGGCTTATGAATACATTAAAAACGTAGCAGGGCAAGCAAAAACTTTTTTTCATTTGTTTGATTTAATCGGAAGTATAAAATATCCAAGTTTGAATTATCGTGAGCCTACTGTACACGGTGGGAATCAAGGATGCTGCCTCGTATCAGCATCAAATGGTCGCGTATCGAAGACGCTAGCGTAGGCTGTGGTGCCCCTTTTCTGGTCGCTTCTCATGGACGCTACTGAGCCCCCCGGCCAAGTGAAAGAAACAGGCATATTGAGCTCGGTGTTTGTTGGATTGTTTCTCATCTACAACCTTTAAATTAAATGATTTTTGAAGAGTGTTTTTACGTTTTAATCATATTCTGTGTGACGTGAGCAGCTAAAAAATACTGAGGTCACACTGACCGGGGAATGGAGTTTGGTTCAAAGGGTAGCACCGTCTTACGCGCAATTACTGCGACTCAGACAGTTTGTGATTGCAACCACTGAACTCCGTCGTAGCTCGAGAGTCCCGGTGCACGAATGAACCGTGACGCTGTGCTCGTGCCCAATTGTTTGTTGGCACGGCCTGTGGTTGCCCTCTTTGGCCAGCAGCAGCGCTGACAAGCGGCTAACCGAGACGCATTCAATTCGCTGCCTCGTGGATATGTTAAATAGACCCCAACTTACTAGAATGCACAAAACAGGTTGTAACTAAAGCTCCTCTATCCTGGGAAAAGCGGCG